TTTCCACAACTACGTGGATTTCTGCTTTGAAGGATGGACAGAAAAGAAACCGCATGATCATCTACAAGCTGATTATGATAAAGGGGAAGAATTAAGTGGGGTGGCCCAAAAGRTCAAGAGCTGGGAGAGCATATATGGGAAGAAACAGAGAGGGAATAATGAAGAAGAGCAGTCAGAACAACTGTCCTTCCAGAGAGATCAAGCAGGCCGTCCCTAAACCTGCCCCAGGAGGAGCTTTAAGTGAAATATTGGAAGYACCACCASCAATGTGCAGGAAATTTCATCCTTCACTTGGCAGGCAATCATGTTACAAGGTGGAACTCACCTCTGCTTTGTGTTCTGTTCTTCTTGCGTTACTGCAGGGGACAACAATCTACCCGCTTCTYAGTTCTGTMCTCCATGACAGTAAGGAGTTTGCAAACCCAGAAGAATTTGACCCCRGACATTTCTTGAAAGCAAACGGCACCTTTAAGAAGAGTGACTTCTTCATGCCGTTCTCTGCAGGTAAAGCACACGCTTCCTCTTCTCATTCCTCCCGCAGGAGCTTTTGCTCAAGGCTTCTCCTGCTCAGGTTCTTCTGTCACATACCCCACCAAACTACCAACTGGGATCTAGGTGTTCCCCATCCAAATGTTGCCTTGCACACTCACATCACTGCCATGGCTGTATCTGATAAACACGGCTGTGTAACACAGTCGCATAGCACAAATTCCAATCCACCCTGCAACATCTACTCAACAGCATTTGTTGTTTTAATTTCAGGGAAGCGAATATGTCCTGGAGAGGGCCTGGCACGCATGGAGATCTTCTTAGTCCTAGCCACAATCCTGCAGAGCTTTACCTTGAAGCCTGTTGTTGATCCCAAGGAACTCAGCATAACTCCAACATTGAGTGGAACAGCAAACATACCTCCCGTTTACCAGCTTTGTGCCATCCCTCGCTGAAAGACTCACAACTTCTCTCCACTGTGTCCTGAGCTTGGCTTTTCCCCTTATATCTTCCTTACTAAGTCATTGCTCAGTTACATCAATTGCCGAAACAATTAACTGTTTTGTTCAAGAATGCAATGTGCATGGCTGGCCATGACCTGCTTCTCCTGCAGTATGTATCTAATGAAGAGCAGTGTGTCCTATGGTAATGACCAAATAAAAAAAAAAAATCTCCTTGAAAGGATTCAGGTTGGTCCTTTCTTAGGGCTGGTGTTGCATGTAGAGTGGACCCATAGCTCCTGCGGCCAGAGTCATGCCGCAGGTTGCTGCAGGAAGGGTTGTCAGTGCCTGGTTCAACCCCGGGCTACTGCTGCTTCCAGCAAGCAGTCCTCTGCCGAGTGCACGGCCCTACCATTCAGGTAGGCTCATGGTGTTCAAGGTGAAGGCTCCCCTCAGGCTAACTACTGGGGGCACTTCAGGCAGGCTTGGCTGTCATTGCTGTGGTTAGGAGCATTTTGGTGTTGTGGCTGCTGTTCCTGCTCCCCTTGTCCAGGTGAAGGATGGCTGCGGCCACCTCTCCTGGAGGAGAGCACTGCTTCCCAGTTTGGTGGTTAGAGCTGCCTGCCTTTGCAGGACTTCAGGCTGCTCTTGGGGGTTGTCCTTGCTGCTTTGGCGCACTCTACTCACGGACTGTGTARCTATCATTTCTCTTTGTCCTCCTCTCCCCATCTCCTCTCCACTCAAGCATTTGCCAAAACAGTCCTGCTTGTCACAGTGACCTTTCAGCACCTCCRTATGAATCAACATGTCTGCTAAGACATGAGACGCTCAGCAACCAGTCTGTCCCTGCTCACTGTCAACCCCAGTGACTCTGGGGGGGCCTCCTCAGAACAAGGCCACATTATTCATCTCCTGGGGAACAGTGCTCCACCTCCCAAATTGCTACTAGTTTCCTTCTCATTTTAGCAAGCCATCTTCCCTGATTCACACCCAGYACCTCACAGTAATATCTTCCTGAGGCTACAGAGGTCATCTCTCTGGATAGTGTCTCTGCCAAATGAATACCGGGTACTCCTACTCCACCTCACAGCTGAAATAGCTTTTACAGGGCACTGGGGAAAGACTCAGACCCAGCTAGTTGCCGACAAAGAAGGAATTTTCGCTCCCATCCACTCTCACCCATCCATTTCAACAGATCCAACCTCGGAGATTTGACGGAGCTTTGTATGAGACTGGCCCAGATGCTTTGGGCATGCATTTCTGCCTTTAGAGAAAAGTCCCAACTCATGTTCATATTGCTGTCCTGCTTTGCATGGGAGTTTCCTGCTCTGAAGTCTCCACAATCCACTGTCAAACASTATATTCTGGAGTGCAGTAAATGGCCCTCCTCTTCTGCAGTCCACTTATGGACTCTTTCCTAAAGCTATGGCGTTTATTGCYGTAGATCTGCATCTCAGCTACCGAGCGGGGTAGTACAGAACGTGATGCAAAAAGGTGTAGATGCTTTTGGCTGACCATGCCATTGCTTTTCCACATGCTCTGGATTTTAAACATCAAGACAAAGATAAAAGCAAATGTGAAGGTCATTTTCTTCAGACAGTAAATCCCAACTGCCATTAGTAGCATCCACAAATGGATGGCAGAACAAGGAATGTGTTCATGAACTTTCTTTCCTAGAAGAGAAAGTAAAAGCATGCATACAACAGAACGTGCAACTGAATCCACAGTCTTTAATGAATGCAGAGAGTTGTTCTGGGCATAGATACATTTGGTATTACCCCCACGTCCTTCTCTCTTCCTCCTCCATTTCAGTCACTGAAACATAAAATCACAGAGGCGTAGGCACGCCTCAAAGAGTTTGACTTTTCTTGCCTTTTTTTTTTTTTTTTTCTTAAGAAACTTCCTCGCTTTGAATTATGGACTGTTAAGCCTAGTTGGTACAACAGAAATGTGCCACATAGATCATTGGTTGAAACGTAGAGCACAATAGGTGTGAATGCACTTTCACAAGACATCTGTTTGAATGCTAGCAAATGTAGCAGATCTGTCAAACCACATTGCAAGCATCTGTAACAAAACAGAGTATAAAATTCAAAGACCAAGCAAGAAGAGAAATGATCAGAACGTGAAACAAAGACGTTGAAGTACACAGAAACTTCTAAAAGAACTTTGCCCCAAAGTAATTACTTCCATTAGAGAGCCAGGAAAACTGAACCCTTCAGGCCAGCAAAACGTTCCTTCTGTTTCACTGGGAACATGAATGCCACAATTTTATTTCTTGCCCTCTGTTACTCAGATTTTGCTTGAATGAGGTCCAAGTAAGAGAGGAACAAAAGCAGATTCCATCTAGCAGAGTTCATTTCCCCAGACCTGTGTGGCCAAACAGCAGAAGATCAAAACTCCCGTCTCTAAAAAGGCTATAATTTTTTAAGAGAGAAGCAAAATAGAACTTGGTTCTTTTTCTTAAAGAAAGAAAATTCAAGCRGAAGTAATATGGTTTTGTATGGTTTTGTACAGCCTGCACTAAAGATACGGTCAATGACACARTATTGGTCACATGACACTTATTAAGGCATTGACTATTGACCTTCTACATGCACTTTTTCTATACATATAATTGTGTTTGTGTGTGTATTTGTATGTATAAGTTATCTTTCTTTTTCCTTGTCCTAAGCAAGAAAATATTTTCATGCATTTGCTTCCCCTGGTGTTAACCATTGGATCATATTCCGTTTAACGACTTGTGAAAGGGCTGGGGTCTATTTATTAACCATCCAGAAATGCCCTCAACTCTAAGAATGTCATTTATGCCTGACACTGGGGCTGCCCCACATTTTCCCACAGTGACACACCAGAGGAGGTGTCAGCCTGGAGCCTGACAGTACATTGGTTATGTAAACATCGCAATCCTTGGATTATAAATACTTTATTAAAGCTAACATACCTCAACTTTTAGCTCGTAATTGCCCACGAGTGCCTTAATGAAATGCCATTCACTATATGGCCTTTTTTCTTTTTTTCTTTTTCTTCCTGTAACAACAGCACAATTACAGCAGTTCCCCAAAAGGTGCATTTTCCACTACTTTTCCCAAAGAAGTGCCAAGGCAGCTGTTGATTTTGCAGGCCCATGGCCCAGTATCTTACACACACACCCCACATGCCTCAGCCTTACAGCTCAAAGTGCTTAAGTCACCATCGTGCTTGCGTGTCCGAGTTACAGACTTGCAGTGATGCCAAAAGACTGGGCCATGGGTTAGCAAAGATGGGGCAGAAAGCAGAATCTGGTGGAGCTCTCCTGTTCCTGYTCCCATGCTTTGGGCATGCACGTGCTCAACAGTTTTGCAGAGCTCACAAGGACTGACCTCTAACATGGCCTGTGTCCCTCTGCCTGAGAAACAGCCAGGAAATACAGTGCGGATATACTCTGGTCTGGCCTGGCATTTCCTTCTACGAGATGCTCTGCTAAGCTGAGGTGGGGAACTGTGGGAAGAGCAGCCCAGCCAAGAGAAGGGAGGACGTATCGGAAACTAGCACTAGGGAACAAGAGAAGGGTGGGAAGGAGGGAGCAAAGAAAGCAAAGAAGGGTGGAACAGCGAGGGAAGATTTTTTGTTTCAGATAAGGCCTGTACTGTTGCCACAGTCATTTGAGCTGCCTTGTCGTGGCAGAGTAATGGGACCAGACTGAGTACTCCAGTAGCTGCACGTGCCCTGGCCACCACCACCACAGCACCTYGCAAACAGCCACAGCCTTTCTTTTGGCCACTACCTTGAAATGCTTCTATTCAACACATACCAGGACAAATACCGTAAATCCTGTGCTGGGCACCTCTCACTGATCACGACCCAAAATGGACAGCAGTTCTAAAGAGRCTCTCCTCAAATCCCTGCCTACCTCTGCCTACGCACACAATAACCAAGACAATAAATAGATGGGACTGAAGGAACCATGGAATCTGAAGTCACAGCCATCTGGTTGATGACTTATTGCACAGAGTATTTTGGGCTGATAGGGGACAGAGGGTGGCCCCAAAGATTCACTGAGAAAAATCCTACGGGTGGCTGCCCACATCATCTGCACCAAAAGATGCATTCAGAGAGCTCATGTGTATAGTGTATGCAAGAGACTAAGGCTTTTTTTTTTTTTCCAATTCAAACTTGGTCTTCACTCAGCCCATGGCAAGCTGTGCAAAATACAAGATTTATGCCCTGGCAGGTGTCATTAGAAGACAATTTTTGGTCCTGGGTATGTTAGCAACGGAAAGGTCATGCTATTTTTTTCAGAAGCAAACCTTTCAACTGAATTTAGTCGTAATTACAGAAAATACTGTACACTGCTGCTGGCCAAGCGTACAGGAGCTTAAAAACAAACAAACAAAAAACCAACAATCACAGTTTTAAACGTCTCAGTCTTCAGGTGGGGAATGTCTGTGAGGAGCAGTCAAACTACTTTCTCATGTGCAGTGCATCCTGAAATTTGGTACTTATGTATTGGGCGTGAAAGCCTTTCTTGTTGATAGTGTCATCTGTGTGGAATCGAATCATGATGGAATCTCCTGCAGAGTAGATTTCTTCCAAAGGCTGCAGGAAAGAAAATAAGACAGTTCAAAGTGGTGAAGTCTGAATGCCAAATAATTGTCCGCAAAACGGTGGCAAGATTTAAGCTCACAGTATAGGTGGGCTGGCCAATAAACATGAATAGTGAGTGTTCAGTATGTCCTGCCCTGCTTGAGCACATTACAAAGTAGAACACCTCTTGCTTGTCAGCAAATCATGGTACCAGGCACTGGATTTGTCAACTGTGGTTCAGGGCTGGGACAGAGATATTGCACATACCCCTGCAGTCCTACTGCTTTCAGTGATTGTTTAAGAGCTGGCAGAGAGAATCAAGGAAGCTTACGAAAGCCATGTCTTCAGACAAGGATTCTTTTATTTATTTATTTATTTATTTTTCTTATACCTCAGCAGTTAATGTTTTTACTCTACACCTTGGCTAGATAAAAGCAGAAAGAGAAATTGTACTTTCAGACAAATTCAGTCCTACCATTCAGAGCAGGTTGGGACCAGCAGAGTTCTTAGAAAACACGGTCAGAAGGCTCCCTAAGAAATCTTTCTCCTGCCCCAAAACAGGATTGGACTCACCAAACACACTCCTATCAGATGACTGCCCACCATGCTTTAAAGATCACTTGTGATGGACATTGTCCATCTCTCACATGTCCATTCCAATGCTTTCCCATCTCCACTATCAGGAAATCCTTCCTCATATAAAACACAGACCTCTCTTGCTGCAAATTAAAGYCCATTGTTTCTTTGAACAATCTTGCCCCAACTTGGTGGACATGGAGAACATCTTGTTCCCTTGCTTGCCTCTTATGTTTGAAGATTGATGCCAGTCTACTTAACAATCCCAGTTCTACAAATTGCTCTTTGAGCTCGCTATAAACGATTCTACAGCTTTCAGGAAATGACACAATCCAAAGCAGACCCTGTTTTGCAGGTGAGGGGATCCCAGGGTCAAATAGTTGCAGAATAATTTACTGTATATTGCATGCAAGATTCCTCTTCCTCACTGCTAAGCTGGGACCTGCTACAGCCTGCCTGTACTTCTCTGCAGAAGTGATGCTCTCCCAACTGATCCCCTTTTCATCCTTGTGCTGGGTGGGTGATTTCTATCCTCTGCCCTGMACTACTTCACCTCGAGCTGCTCTGTCTCTTTTTATTTTCCAGACCCCTTCCCCAGTTTGCCAGGGCTGTGTCAATATATTTTCTACCTGGTTGTGTCTTATTCAATAAGCACCTTCTCCACTTCAGAGCTAAAGTCCTAAATAAAACCTTGCTTCAAAAAGAAAGCAACTTGAAGCAACTTTGAAGTACCTTGCTTCAAAAAGAAAGCAACTGGGATTAAATTGGTCTTTGGGAGATGAGGTTCCCCACAGTTACACAGTGGTCTAGCTCCAGCGCTGCAGCACAGCAGCAAGGCAGTGCCATGATGCTTCTCATAGCTCTGGACTAACAGGTAAAGTCAACTAGCAAGGTATCCAAACCAGCTGTTCACATCAAATACAGTAGCTCCGATCTTTGGCCACAGGAAAGTAAGCAAAAACCAGGCACAAAAAGCATTCTCGTCACCAGTTTGTGTCAGTTGCCCTCTCCAAAATGAATATTAGAATACTCTTCTTTGCCACTTCTAGTTACCCCTAAGAAATCATCACCACCATCACTTACCCCAGAGCCACAGAAGCGTCCCAGGCGCGGTGCGGTGCTGTCGTAACCATCGTAGATCTCCATGTAGTCATATCCACAATCAGCCTCCTCCTCAATTTCAAATGTCTGGAATACCAGCTCCACCCCATACCCATCTTCAGCTACAATCACCCAGTCACAGCTGGACTGTCCGGGGTAGGTGTTGTCCCCAAATTGAGCATGGGAATACAGCTCCTTAGTTTGTACTTCAGCCTTTAAGAGGCCACCACACTCTGGAGGAAAAAAGAGGGTAYGTAATAGAGGCTCCCCAGAGTCCCATCTCACCGCCTCACAAAGTGCAAAACACAAGCACTTTGGCACAGTTTTCTTGCAGCCAACCAGGAAGATGTTTTCTCTACTCATACATACAATGCCACTCTTAGAATTTGTTTCACTTGTTTGCAGGTGCAGAGATTAAAAAAACAAAAGAAAACCAAGAAAAGAAAAAAGAAAAAAAGAAAAAAGAAAAAAAAAGATAGAAGAATAAAGGAAAAAGAAGAAAAAAAAGAAAATAGAAAAAAAGAGAAAAAAGGAAAAAAAAAAGAAAAACGAAAAAAGAAAAAAAGAAAAAAAAGAACCTTGGGTAAAACCAGTTTCTAAACCAGTCTAGGCTGCCAAAAATAAAGGATTAAACTTGTGTCAGTCCACAGCACACCTCTGCTTCCACCATAATCCATTTAGCACGGACCTGTTGCGTGTGGGCCCACACACCCAAGAGGCAATCCCTGCTTGGGCAAGGTGATAGCACCTCATATTTTGATAACTGCAGACAAACAAGAGGAAGTTGGTCCTCAAGCAAGCATCTCCAGTTTAAATATGAGAAGACGAGTACCAATGTCCAATACAATGAGACCTCTCAGCTGATAAGAAAACTGGTTAGCACTATTTACAACCAGAGGAAACTCAGACTATGGCCATTTTGGAGAAAAATGTGTCTGCTTTTGCGTGGCAATCACTACAATGAGAACCTTGAGGGCACCTCATCACACTGGCATATTAGCAGGAAACAGCTCACCTGTACTGTGCTTTGCTTGGAAGCCTTTTCTTTGTACGGAAGCATCAGAGTAAAACCTGAGGAACATCTTGTTAGYAGAAGCTACCACAGGCTCTGGTTTCTGACTGCCACAGAAACGGCCAAGGATAGGTGACTTGCTGTTGGGCCCATCATACATTTCTAAGTGGTCATAGGCACATTCTTGGTGCTGTTCAATCTCAAACTCATTGAAGGTCTGCAGTGAAAACAGAATAAGGAGAATAATGAAATACATTTGCAAATCTGAAAGATGTTTAGCAGAAGAAAAAATACCCAGGAAGAAACAGATCAAACAACATGTCTGTCCAACTCCTCAGATACAAGCAAAAGCAGAACGATGTGCTGTCAGAGGACAGTGGCCTAAGGATGGTGGAGCTCAGTTCATAAGCATGTCCTGTGTAATGTTAGCTCTGCTGCCTTGCACACATGCATAACAGTGGTCTTCAGCTACAAGCCTTACACACTCTTGTTTTCCCTGCAGGGCATCCTGCCTAAGGCTCTGAATGGGCAGTTGTTCAATATTACTTCCTCCAAGGACCCCTTTGGATCCAGGCCCTATTTCCCCAAAGGGCATGGGCTAGCCACATAGCTTTGGGCATGTCCTGCCATACACATCGGTCTGTACTATAAAATAGGGCTGATGCATCCTCCTCAGAAGGGCTGGGGAYTGGCACTGTCCTCATCTTATGTGAAGACGGACCCAAGAGCGTGGCTTGGAGGCAGAAATAGGGATGGCAGGGCATGATCCCAAGTGCCACTTCTGTTAACAGAGCRTGCAGTGCTCCACAGGCTCCACCTCCTGGAGTCTCCTCTAGGCTGCCTCATCCCCTCACRTTCTTCTGGGACATTCTGTCCACGCCTAGCCCATAGGCAGCCTTCTGGGGCCCCCTTCACCTAGCGCTTTAAACAGGGTCTATATGGATTAACCTTTCCTCTCACACAACGACAGGGAGATACCACTTAACCTCTGCATTATCCAGCCTCGCTTTCTTGCTGTTACTCACTACTTTCACTCTGTGACCAGGGGTTGCAGAGATATTCCAGGTGCACTCTTTCCGGCTAGGGTACTTGTCAGGCCAGTTTGGACTGCTCATCATTCCCTCTGCGCTGCTCAGCTTGTGCTCGCACCCAGCTTGAGAGAGAGAGATCACAAGATGGTGCATCAAGGCAGGTCTCACAAGGGAGAGAGGCAGAGTGCTTCTCCCTGCCCACTGAAACCCTCAACACAAACAGGACACGAACAAGGGAGGTTTCAATCACTGAACAGAGCTTTTTTTTAGGGTTACTGTATAGTTTCGGGTGAGTTTGTCCCTAGCAGGGCCTATACTTCTGATATCCCAGCAAGAAGCCAGATTAGGTGTCTGAGCTAATTAAACAGCTGGTGAAATAGGTCATCTTAGTCCTGTCTCCCTTCTCTCCTGTTCCACCATCTCTTCTGCCCAACTGCCAATGACATGATCCCCACTGGGCTCTGACGCTGAGTCCTGCCCAAGCCGTTTGTTCTGCTGGCTCAGGAAGGTGAATCAGGTCACCGGGAAATCAGGCAAGCAGGCACTGTACAAAGGAAGTCCAGGGGAGCCCACAGCCAGGGGCAGGGTGTAAGATGAAAGGAATTTTTGCAGTGAACTGTTAGATCAGCTCAGTGTCTCCTTCTGACTGAACCGAAGGCTTAAGTGAGAGTAGGAGCAACAACTGAACAAGGTGATGTTTACTGGCTTCTTTTTGCTAGCCCAGCTTCTTACTCCCGCACTGTCTATCCCCATGGCCATCTAGAAGGTGCAACTGTGGAATAGATGCAGCTAAATAAATAAATAAATAAACCACAATTCTTTTTGCCTTTTCTGGAGAGTTTTTCAGATAGATCAGTGCTCCAGTCAGCAGCACAAATGTGCTTCCAACACAGGGCAGGACACACTCTGGCCCAAGAAGTGCTTAACTAAGTGTTTGATAATGCTTATCTTGCCTGGATACAAGGAGTGGGGCCCTTACCTTCTTTGCAATCATGGCCGTTTTCATGCAGCATGAACCCATTTCTGCAATGGCAAACATAGCTTCCAAAGGTGTTGGTGCATTCGTGCTGACAGCCACCATTATCTTTGGAGCATTCATCCTTGTCTGGGCAGGATCAAACCAACAAATACTGAGTTGCCGGTAAGAAACAGACTACTGCATTTGCCAGCTATGGGTCTCATATCCAAACTGGCAGATACCAATGCAAAACTTAAATGGCTGCTACTGTCACATTTTTAACCTCAGACAAGATTCTTTTCAATCATCTTCCATTCTATAAATGCACTTTTTATCATATAATGTAGATTTTAAATGCTTAGTCCTATCATTAAGAGAAACCAAAGAGCAATGCTTCACTGTTTTAGAATAGGATTTGGGAAAAAATATCACACACATTTACTGCATAGGCAAAAAATTCACTGGCCCTTCTTTATATTTTCAAGTTTCTGTATACTCTAATGATCCCTCATCTTTAAATAGCTTTCACTGAAGGCACAAGGAACCATATGGAAAAGAGGTTCCAAGGCATGAGCTGCTATCTGAAGCCACAGTATGTCCCACAGATTTTCATTCCTGGATGTTCAGCTGTTTGCAGAAGCTACAGAGCCAAATGGCCTGTCTTTTTCATGCTTATGGGACAATGGCACATTTAAGTAGTAGAGAACAGTGAACATCAGACACTTCTATTCCACCTTTTCCATAAGCAAATAAAAGCAGTTTGGCTGAGAATAATTCAGAGGTATACTACAGAGAAAGGACACAATAAGTTGAAGTCACTTAACGTGGTTAGCGCTTCCCCTCCTGCTTCCAATACACACAGTTCCATCACAAACTTATCCACCTTAAAAAAAAAGTGAGATTTTGTCCCTAATTGCTCTTCATGTGTTCCTGAATCTCACTGCTCTGAGCATAAGATCTGTTCTCAGTTTCCAATCCAGTTTAAATTATGAGTATCTTATCTCCATTTTTTTCTTGTGTCAGTGCTCTTCGTGGACTACATTACCTTCTTCTGTCTTTTCATCTCCAAGCATATTCCTAAATAGGACATACCTTATCTCATCTTTCCCCTTTTTAACAAGCCAGTCCTCCTGTCCTGATTCTCCTATGCATCTGTCTTAATTTGAGGTCACTTTGCCTGATTAGCTGTAGATTGTCCTACTGAAAAATATTATATGGGTCTACTTCTGCTGAAAATACACCATGAAACTAAAGTTCCACTTTCACTAATCTCTGTAAATGCTTACTAGAAGATGTATCACTGAAGCAAAGAGCAGTGAATGGTTCAGACAAGGGGGTTAGGAATCTACAATAGATAGGAAGGACCTCACTACAGGAGACTTTGGAAGTTTTCTAGCTCTTCTGGTTTCAGAGAGAAAGCTAGTGCCTAGTGACTCTTTTGGCAGAAAGAACTTCTGGGATCATGTTTCCCACTGCTTCCTACTGCAGAGGACTAGGAATATTGATGAAATCCATACATTTTGCTGACAGCACACTGTGAAATTGGACCATACACTGTGCTGAGAAACCAAGATGAAAAAAAAAAAAAAGCACAACACAAAGCAACCATACTTTTTAGGTGTGAATAACCATGTAATTTCCTGCCTAATTTAACAGGAGCTTAAAGAAAATTGACCAAAAATAAGAGTTGCAGTTAGAGGAGAYAGCCAAACAATGGAGAGGAAACAGCCACATACCAGAGAAGAAGTGAACTTTGAATCCTTTCTTGGAGACTGTGTTGTCTGATTTGAACTCCAGTCTCACGTTGTTGCTGTATGATGTGATTACTTCAGGTTTCTCTGACCCACAGAATTTGCCGTGCAGTTTGGAGTCAGAAGCCAACCCACTGCGTACCTCAACATAGTCATATTTACAGACCTGTCAAGAAAGGAGGAGGTTTCTTAGCTCAATGGAGTCAAACAAAACATTTCAGAAGAAGGGGACAGAGGCTTGACTGACAGGGAAAGAAAACACTCTTATACTTAAGTACTCTCCTAATCTCCCCAAATTCTCATCTRCCAGTGTCCTCTTCCCCTTCCTTTGTTACCCAAGTTTTACAGCATGGGTGTGTTTATCAGATTAGCAAGGGCTCCATTTAATTTAGCTAAAATAGATACTCCGTCTTTATCTGAAAGCTTTATAGTCTTGACTGAACTTCAGTAGCCTTTTGAATTGGGGAAGAGCCACTGCCCCCAACTACAGAGGCACAAGTAAGACCTTAATGCTTCGCTCAGAAACCATCCTTGCCGGGGCAGAGAACACTTCATTTTATTTTGTTTATCCTCACCTAGGGAACTAGCTCATTGTTCATTTCCAATGACCTCCCTACAAAAGCAACCCAAGGCAAGACAACAAATAGGGATAGAAAACATCTACAACTATTCAAAGCCACAGAGAAGATAAATAAGCCTATTTAAAACAAAACAGTTCAAATCCTTCCATTCCCTAGGAATAACAGATCCAGACTTCAAGGAGAACAATTATTGCTAATGGCTCTCAAGGGCTGGGAAACAACTGGAAGCTCAGAGGGACACATAGTCCCTACTTTCTTGTACCCAAAGACTTATTCACTTCTGAATTATCCAATAATCACACCTCCAAGATTCAGGGACTGGTTACGTACATCATTGCCTTCCAGTTCAAACACTTCGAACTGCAGAGAGATCCGGTACTGGGCTGGAGCTACCACCTGCCAGACGCAGTTTTTGTTAGTAGGATATTCCTTGGGCCATCCAGGGCTAGTGATGGTCCCATTGAGCTTGGTGATGAAGCCCCCACAGGCAGCTGGAGAGGCAATAAATGAACACAAGGTTTACTTGGTTCTGTTCAGACACAGAGTTCGGGCCACATTATTAGGTACAAAATGAATCAGACCCTAGTTGGTGGCACATTTCAAATCTCAGCCTCCAGAACAAGTGTTAAAATGGGCAGAGCTATGAAGAAGTCAAAACTTTACTTACTATCAATCGCAAGTGAAGCACATASAGCCAGTTTGTGGCCCCCAGATCCACTTTCACTTTGTAAGACTGGTCTCCCTCACACTCTATGGTCTTGTCTTTACTCTGTGTCAGTGAGCTTGACATACACAACACAGCTGGTAAGGTCAGCTTAGTAACTTAACCCTTATCTCTGATAGAATTCAAATGCCTGACCTTTGCACACTTGAGCAACCCTTGTAGCCCCAGTCAAAAGCATGCAAAATGCTAACAGTCTGTCCTATCAACCTTTGAAGTTCACCAGCAACTGATAAGATAATAGAATCCTAAGGGGAAAAAAAAGCCTTTGTCAGTTCTTCCAAGGCTTGTTACACAAGGCAGCATTTCCACTAGGGAAAACTATTCTAAAAACTCTATACTTCCATTTTCTTTAAAAGAGCATAACATTTTAATTTCATCCTCCTGAAGGAGGACATGGCTTTTACATCAAAGGAATCAGTCTCAATTTGCTCTTTTGATGCAAAAATCCACCTCCAATGAAGCCATTTTTAACTTGCTCTTTCCTGCTGCCAATGAGATATGGCCAGATCACCACAATTCACAGTGATAAAAGCTTGTCTTGGTCCTAGTATCATTTTGCATTAAGAGAACTAACCCAAAGAGGTGGTTTCAATGCAAAAGTGCTGTGAAGCTGCTTATTGACCACAAGTGTTTTAGAGACTAAAGTTAAAGCACAAAGGGAAACAGGACATCAAGGGTCTCGCTGGTAGAGCCAAAGAAAACAGACAAATAAAAACTGCACAAAGTATTTTGATTTTCACCTAAATTCCCAATCTGTTTGTTCATTACCTTTGGCACTTCACTAGTTTTAGCAGAGCATTAACAACCATTTCCTTCAGTAGGACCAGCATAAGTTCACCCTGAGTAATGCCCCGGACTTGACAGATTATTCAATTATATGGACCCCACCGTGTCACATGAGGGTAGCCAGCAGCAACACAAGGGAATCAAAGTTGCACACTTCTTACCACAATTTGCACCTGCAACCATCTGCTCAGAAACACAGACCTGCTCTGTGTAGGCAGGAGAGAACTAGATCTCCATCCTAAGCTACCAGGCCAGGAGCTGTAGTTCCTTTATTTATAATCTGTGTCTCAAAGGAAAAAAAAATCCTGCAGCTTAGAGAACAGGCCTCAAAACTAAAAATTTTCTCTGTGCTGCRGTCTCAGTATCCAAATGCAGTGAATTTTATCTTCACTCTGTTGTTACCTATTGCATTATTTTTTGTATAGTAACACCTGGCAGAGCAAATCAATCAACTTTGATATGCATCCCTCTAGCTGCAAAGACTACTGTTTGTACTGCCCATAAATGGAGTCTGAAATAGGAAGTTAAGAGTGAAATCCRGAAAATGCCTGCCTGCCAAGTTACACAAACTGACTTGCTCAGAACTGCCAGAAAATGTTTATAAAATAAGGTATGTTTTCCAAAATTCTTTTGCATGCACCTAACTKCCCCCACGAAATCAATGACAGCCTTGCTCAATAGACGGGCAAAAGCAGAAGCTAGTGTGAACCAAGTTGCTTTGAGAATCCCATTCACAGTGCATGGAATTCCCTAAATAAATCTCAGCTGATGAAGAAAACCTGAAATAAGGCCAATGTGTGGATTTCACAACACTAGTAGCTGTACTGTTTGCAGAAGTAAACATTTGTCACAAGAGACAGGTTATGTAACTACAGTGCTGATGGAAACAGCTTCCATGAAACAAGAAGGCTTCTTCCTTATCAAAAAAACCCTAGAATTAACTGGTCACCCATTTTGCATGGGTAAACACTGATATTTCAGTTTACAATAAAAAGGTTTTTTTAAGTTTTTCAGCCTTGCATTGAAATACTTTGATTCTGTAGTGCTGCTATCATGCCATCTGTTAGTCACAGTCACTGTCTTCACCTCCCAGGACACAGCTGGACCACTCGGCTTTCACAAGGTAACGGCCCCTCTCTATGGGGTTTTGTGGGAGTCTGATCTCATCACAGATCCCAGGCCATAAAAGACAACAGGTTTAGGAGTTATTTAAGCAGTAGAGAAACAGACTATTTTCAGCTCTCCACTCCAAACCAGATTTAAATAGGAAATGTTGAAAAGAGAAAATACTTAGTGGAGAAGGTACACAGAAACAAAGACAAAAGAGGGGAAAGGAGAATCATCACCAAGCTAGTTCAATTTCTTTATTAGCTGTAGAGATACCCCAATGTGTAGGCTATTCACCTTCACAGCTCCTCTTATCAGCAGTCAGCTCATAGCCAGGCTCACAAGTACATTTGTAGCTGCCCAGTGTGTTCTCACAGAGCTGCTCACACCCACCGTTGTCTGGCAGAGAACATTCATCCATTTCTGTCAGGAGAAAAACAGAACAAGTCACACTTTCCAAGCACCCAAATGCCTCACATTTTCTTAGGCAACACTTTTAAGCAGAAAGACTATGGCCCCAACTGATAAGCAGAGCCCATGGACCAGGCACTACAGCAAATCTAATGAGTGCTAAAGCAAAAACTCAAAAGGCAAAAAATTACTAACACCAGATACAGAGCATAACATGTTTCTTTTGTCTGTTTTTTTTTCTTTTTTTTTTTTTTTCTCGTCAGAAGCAGGAAAACATGGTCACTTGTAAAGTCTTGGCTGTATTGTTTTTTGTTTGTTTTGTTTTTCGTTTTATTCCTCATACTCTTGAGGGACTTGACATATCAAAACCCAGCTCATTATAGTGCCTGTGACAAAGGAGCTGTGGATGGGAAGACATACCCCACTGCTGAAGTACAGCAGAAGAGCTGGAAGGACAAGCAAATTTTCTTCTTGATTGTAAATACATTAGTTGCTACCCTTGACATTGAAGTCAGGTTCTCCCAATGAGACCTCAACAACGTGACCTGACTTTTCAACAGATAGCCAGATTTACCAGCTTCTCATCCAAACTCCTGATTCCATGCGCATCCCTTAATAGTTTTATGAACATGCTCCAGTAAAAGTTACTGCTATGTAGACCAAATAGGAACAGTACTGACAGCACTGTCTTCCTCAAAGTCATCCTATCAGGCAGGAACTCTCTGCTGTAACAGTTCCAGTTCAAAGGGATTTCATTCTCCTGTTTCTCTTTGTGGACTTACTATGAGGAGAATATTGCTTTCCAGTTCAAGGTCTGAGACCTGACGAAAGAACGAAAGACCTGCTSTCTGTGATCTGACTGTTCGCAGGTTTATTTTCTCTGAAAAGCTAGAAGTTAGCACTGCATGCTCTCACAGGGGCATTAATTTCAGTTTGATCCTTAGCTCTGTTTTCTTTAAGCTATTTTCTTTCTCARCATTGTAAGACATGTAATTGTAGATCTGTACAAAATTAAGGTAAAGCTGATCCAGCTGAGGACAGAAGCTTGTAGGCTGCCTGCAGTGCTATCTAATTTGTTCATTTACTTAATTTAGGGAGAGGCTGCCAGTTATAATCTCTGGATACAACAGACTTCAGGTCCCAGCATGAAACTCCTCATGGAGCTTGCAGGTATAACTGCACTGTTTTTGCAAAATGACATCAATAAGCTCTGTGCCTGACCAGACACTGCATGATCTAGTCTGTCAACAAAAACTGCAGACAATGCTTGTGTCTATAATTGTACTAGAAGTGTGTGTTTATGCATTAAAAAAAAATCTATTTCTGAGCATTTTATCCCAAGGAAACATATTAAAGGTAGGTGAACTCTACAAATTTGCAAGAAAACCTCATATTATACAAACTAACTTGCTACAGGCCAAGAAGGCTCTGGCAAGTGCTAATTCTCAGAAGACATCAGTGTCCCAGAGTCTGCACTATCAGCTCCTGGAAGAGGTCAGCACATCTTTGGGAAGAAATACTAACTGTGCCTTTACGAAATCTGAGAAATTTAAAGAGAGGAATCCAAGTACTGTGAGAGTTGTTCAGCATCTAGACAGAAACACCACAGTATTTGCCAGTGATCATTCAATCACCCTAAGTGGAAGACAAAAGTTAAAAGAAGTAGTAAAGGAAGRACAATCCAGATATTGGCATTGCAGCTATTATGTTTGCAGATAGGTATACAGAAATAAAAGAGAAATATGATTCTATCCACCTCACAGCAGCTCCAGCAGGTATTTTCCCAAGCAGTTACATTTTTTGCTTCTTGTCTCTATTAAGCCACCAGAATGCTTGAAAAGGTCCATCTCTTAAGCAAAAGCTTTGTCTTGTCTCACATCTTYCTGAGAAGAATCTCTGTTTTGGAACACATTTGTCTCCTAAAGCACTTAAATCTTCCCTGAGATTCTACTTGCATTCAGATTTTCCCTTTCTCAAAAAATTTCTTTTAGTATAAAGCTCTAGACAGTTGTTTTCACGACTTCTTGTATAGTACTAGTAAGCTTCTTTGAAAATGTTAGTRTCTCTTGGTATGGATAAATGGGGATCACACTCTATCCAGCTGTGAAACACAAGGTGTTTCACACCGTTTCAGTGTCTGTGCTGCTAATGACCTGTAGAATTGCTAGCATTTTTGAGGTAGGCACTCTGTCTCATCAGGAAGGCAGTGTTCATGCCTTAGCACCAAGCCTGTGTACACTCTCAAAGCAATTTGCACTTAAATTTGTCATTGGCAGTTGTACGAACAAGATTAATACCTTTCAACTAAAAATAGATGTAATGGTAACCAGTCACATCGGTATGACAGTAGGTTAAGCAATGAGTGATCCCTAGCTTTGATTTTGAGAGGTACCAGCTCACATACCTTTAAAGAAATTTGCTGCAAAGCCTGCTTTATTTATGGTTGCATCTGATGCAAACTTCATCCATACTTTATTTGAACTGGATTTGACATCTTCTGGCTTTTCATAGCCACAGAAGTGACCAATTAATGGGCTGTATTCAGTGGGGCCATCTCGGATCTCCAGGTAGTCATAAGAACATGCGTCATGCCATTCGATCTGCAAAAGGAAAGAGTTTTGCCTGTATCTTACTAATACAAGTGCTCCAAATCACTACTCAGACTTGGATCACTAGTTAGCTTCCAAAGAAACATCCCCTGCTGGGGAACATTCCTGCAGCTGAAAGTACTTCCAAGTAAAGGATATGTTGATTCTGCTGCTATTTCATGGTATTGATCTCAGCCTACCTATAGGCTGCTTTGCCAAGACAAGCTGCCAAGGGACACGAGAGGAATAACTGCAAACAAAAAAGCTCAAGGACTAGCCCTGCGGTCAACGCTTGCAGGTAGTGGTGTCAGCCTTCTCCTGGACTGTACACAAGCCATCATGTCCTGTGGGCTAGAGGGGAACTTACATGCCAGCTCATGTCCTGTCCACTCCTGTCTGTGACTTGGACTTTACTAGTAAGCAAAAAGATCATAGGGTTCCTGACTAAAGGTATAACAAATCCTATAAACTGCTGTTCTGAACCACAATGTTTCTTTGGAGGGGTCATAAATTTGCTAAAATATGCCAAGCCCCAGTGATAGCAACAGGATTTTTTTTGCCTGTGTTACAGTCATCCAATTTCATTTGCCCTGAGTGAAAAGACAGGGTCACATGCTTCCTCACTTAACAAGATCAACTATTTTATGCCCCTCTCATTCCTCCTGTCCAGAGTAAAAGTTTTTAAAAACTCATCATATTTAAACACTGCTTGAAAATCTCAGGGTGATTCTGGTGAGAAGAAATAGTTTTCTGAACTATTCAAAAGATTTCTTTAAGCAAAACATACTACTACTTAAATCTCTTCCCTTTTAATTTTGAAGAACCYATAGAACCGTAATAATCATTCAAGATCATAAAATGACCATTCTCACCTCAAAGGCTTGGAATGTGATCCCTATGTGAAAGCCCTCTGAAACTGTGATCTTCCAGATGCACTCTTTGGAAGGTCTGTAGTCATCCGGGTAATTGGGAGACTGGATTTGGCCAGCATCTCTGTGAATTTCTCCACCACAAATAGCTTCACACAAAAAAACAAACAGCAAAAACATGTGATTACAGGCTTTTCCTTAGCTAAAGCCTGCTCCAAACATGGCCTTCTTCCTCATTCAAATTTATATCAATATCACGTATTAATAAAAGGAATCACAAGTATGGAAGTTTTTACAAATTTAGCATTTCATCTTAGTGACTGTGTCTTCTGTTTTGCTGTACCAGCCTCCTTAGAAGGTGAACAAATGGGGACMGAGAAGACTTATGGATTCATGTGTTTCCCACTACCTTCATAACTAGTCACCTTCAYAACTACTTAACACCCAGTATCAACGCTGAGAACCAAAAAAAGATGTTAAATAACATACCAAAACAAAGTTGCAAACTCATGCAGCCACACGATGGCAATATTAACAAGCAGGAGGAGAGCAGTTCACTAGGGGACTAACACACTGACTGCTGAGTATGAAAACYTAAATTTGGTGGCAAATGCAGGAATTAATAAGCTTAAAGGCCAAGTGTAGATACTAAATATAAAATCTAGATTATTTTTGTTTGGTTGGTTTTTTTTTCACAAGAGTAGCAGAGACCACAAAGACAATACCAGTTCAGCCTAACTTTCTGTGGAACTGGTTATAATACCTGTGTTGTTTCATGGTCAGACAGTCATGCAGAGCTAAAGGTGACAAATGGATATTTTGGCTGTGCTTAAAATCAAGCAAATGCGAAGCATCGCCAGTAGGTGCAAGAGAGTTAACCTTGCAGTGGCTCCTGTTGGAYGTGGGTCTCCATCACACTCTCAGATGTCCCAATCACATGCTATGATAACAGGTCACTCGAGGATGTCCCTATAATGTCCCAAAGTGTGCTCCTGTGAGGCAGTGGTGTCTTGGTTTTACCTGGTGAATTACTAACATTTAACAATTAGCTCTTTAAAAGCACTTTTTCACTGAGGCAGTGCTATTTCTTTTTCCTGTAGAATTCAGTACTAAGGCCGAACACCATTAAATACCTTTAACAAAAATTTAGCTGCAGAACACAATTTAGGTTGTTGTCGAAGCTTATACATTAAGAGCCAGAAGTGGTGCCACAAAGAGCCACTGGACAGTTCTGCAAGGAATTGTCACCCCTGCCTAAACGGAAAAGGACTATCAGAGCAAAATGGAGGTYTGACAATTGCTGAACAGTCCCAAACCTGTCAGCCAGCACACAGTATTTCCTACACTGCAGTAGTTCACACTGAAATTCAGCTGAGTACCTAATATATCAGAAGAATTTTACTGAAAAAAAGGAAATAATATCTGCTGGCAGAGTCTGAGAAGTCAAAAACTATGACATATTCAGGGTGCCTTGGCTTGTTGGTGGACCCCACTGCTGGACTTCAGAGCCGCTTCAGGGGACAGGTAACATGGGCCCAAAGCAGAGCTATTCCTACAAGCACTGCTGCAAGGCAGTACCGCCAGCAATTTCTCCTTAAGTCATGAAATCTAGAGGAAATTTTTTTCTTGAATTTCATGCAAGAAAGGGAACAATATGGCTGAATAGTGAGGATATCTTACTTCATTAATTTCCTGTCAGTTAGTATCAAATATTCCTCCTATGAAGGGGCTACTTGCTTCCACCTCCTTTCTCCCACCTATTTAAAACTTTAGAGTCAGGAACCAGAGGAAGCCAAATCCAAAGATCAATCCACACCCCAGAAGTCCCAGCGAAGTTCAGATGAACAGGAGTTTACACACACTCTCGGTAAAAGAAAAAGGAAAGAGAAGCAGTGGTAAAAACACGTTTATTTGCTTTTTAACATGTGAGGCAGAAGAGTTCTAAAGATAAAGAGGAACTAATAGGAACGCAGAGAGCTTTTGAACAAAGGTGAGCAAGTAGTTGAAGATTTCAGGGTAGTTCCTCTTGGAAACAAAAGTTACTGTTACTGCTTGAACACAGAAGTCATTCAGGAGCCATTAGCAGAGCTTCCATCAGAGGGAAATAGAGGTTAAAAGAGATTTTTGGAAAGACTCCCACTTAAGCAAATAAAATACATTGAGAAATACAGATAATGTTACTATCTGCCCTTCCAACAAGAGGAAGCAGAGTTATGAAAAAATTACGAAATGTTCCATCCCTGTTCCTTGGCATAAATTGGCTTCCATCAGTTACTCTCTGTGCTTGCTGTCAGACTTCATAGTATATTTTATACCTTCCCAAAGAGAAGCTTCTTGAGGAAAAGGCTTACAGAAAAAAGCAAAAGCCTTGAAGAGGCAGGAAAATATGAACCATCAGAGGGATACAGAGTACAACTACTGTATGCACAGTCTACTTCCATTTGCTCTCCTCAGCAGTCAAGAGAAGCAAGTATTGCTCATTTTTACTGAACATTTAAGGATCATTTATTAATCAGCAGTAATCATCGAAAATTATCCAGAATAAAAAAGCAGTTTTGCAAACTGACCTTGACACATAGCTAATGTCAAATAAATTTATTTCAGCATCATTTATCAAAATGAAGATGTCATATTAGCACACATGGTGAAGAACACAGAACTTGCTTCTCACAAATAGTCCTAACCTTGTTTGATTTTTTTTTTTAAATTAGACTAGATATCACAGTGGGATAACCTGTAAAAATTAAGATGAGTAACCCATAGAAACAACAAGCCAAAATAAAATAGTGCAGACTGTTACAGAGACATGAGTTTGATCACTTCCAATTCCAGCAAACTACCATAAAAGGGGTGTTAGAAACAATATGATCCACGCAGCAGCTCTTTCTCTGGAGAGACATAGGAAAAAAGGCAAACTACCTTTGTCTCTGGGATAACAATTCCTTTTGAAATCATTTTTCCAATCATGAAATCATTTTTCTTGTGAAAAGGATTTGCTAGTCCCACATTGTCATAAAATCCTTGTATGTTTTATTTGCACTCCCCTTACACTCTGTTGTGTTTTCTTCACTTCTCTCAGTTTCATTATTCATGAGTATATTGGGCATTCAGTATTGGGTTTCCAATGTCACGCTTGTCCCTGTGGCTGCTGAAAGAGGATGTATCATTGGAAGTAATACAATCAACCTCAATACTGTTGGCAACACTGGTACTACTAAGAAAACAACAAGGGCTTTTAATACATTTTAGAGACTTTATCATCAAAATTAGGTGCATCTGGAAAGAGGGTGTTACTGATTCATTARTCATGTGGGCAGCACTGCTCCTGGCCTGAAGCAGTGCCATGCAAGCTTACGAAGCATCTAAGCAGCAGAAGTGACATGCTGATTTCCAAACTTCTATAAGTAATACATTCAAGAGAAGCCAAAGAAAAATCTTCTGCATTTCATTTAAACAAACAACCCAAAATAAGATGTATTAAGTGACAGAAAATTTATGATGCCAAAGAGAACCTTGCCTGTTATGTTACTAAAAGTAACTCCAGTTAGATGCAGCACTGCTGCTTATATGCACCAGCTAGGACAACCAACAGAACCATGGCCTGCAAACAGAAGCCACTGCCCTGTGCTGTCAACCTATTCTGGAAAGGAAAGGTGATGATCTAAGTTTGTAGATCCAGGTCCAAGCTCTGAAATAGCTTGCAAATTCTGCCAGTTCCCTTAAAAACAAGAGTKTGGGCCATGTCTAACAACACAGTGAAACAGAACTACTGACCCATGAATCCAAGCATTCAGGTTGGAGTGCTCCATGCAATGTGACAGAGTCCTGCTTGCTAAGGGTCATACCTTCATAGACCGCAAAGAAGCCTTTGCCCAGGATGTTACTGCTGCTCCGGAACTCGATCCACAACCTGCTGTCTGTGGAAATGACTGGTTCGGGGAGCTTGTCACCACAAAATCTACCTAGAAAGCAGAAAAAAAGACAATCAAGATTTCCCAGCTGACTGGTAGCACAGTGTAGCAGGCCCTGTAGTTGCMAAGAAGTGAAGAAAACATGCAGTTAAAGGACCAGTGTTTGTGTAGAACACACTTTGACTTCCACAATTTCTGTTTTTCAAACGTTTTCTCTCCTTTTTATTTTTACCTTTAATTCATATTCTCCTAAATTAATAAGTCCCCTTCCATCTGGGACTAGAACCCAGCAAAGAGCTTTCTGGTATGTATCTGTACTGCAAAAAAATCTGAATCYTGCTAGCAAAGGAGAATCATGAAACCCTGTAGCAGCAGCATCTCCATGTCCAAAGGGAATGCTCATAMAGAGCAGCACAGCGCAAAGCTCCTTCCTCTAGGGTCACCGAGCAACTGCCTCCTGGATTTAGRCTTGGAGTTTAACAAGGACATCAGGGAGAGGAAATGCAGATGAGGAACTAGAATGAGCAAAATCCTCAGAGTATGATAAAGAGCCCATTCATAAAAAGTTATACACCATTTAAAGACTAGGTTTTCACACACTTCCCTGGGAAAATATGCAGTACACATATATTTTTTTTTCCACAAGTCCATGCTTTCACAATTCACACTAATCCCTCTCCCCGCCCTCTGCTGAATTGCCTCCTGTCTGCCTCTTCCAGGCTAATTTCATGGGCTCAACCCCTTGTGGGAGCTGTGGCCCCTCATGCAGCCTCTCATTCCAGATGGAAATGCTCACAAGTCCACCTGCATCAGGGGGACAGGGAGGGGCTTTCTTTTTGAAATACCTTCTAATTACTTGGCAGAGAAAATAAATAATGAGGATGTAAGTCACTGCCGCTGAGCAACGTTACCTGCTGCATGTGCTGTGGAAACCAGCAAYAGCTGCTGCCAACCCCAAAGCAGGCAGGAAGCAGTAAAAACTGCTGCCAACTCTGCATGGAAACACAGGCACAAGGAAGCCTCTAGAGAGCAGCACAGCTCCAGCCTAAGAACTTCATCTGGCATTAAGATGGGATTTCCAAAGGGGCTAAGGCGAGCTGTGCACCTCAGTAGCCCCACTGACCCTGCTGTCTTGACTGCAGCATCCCTAACACGGTATCCCTAACACAGCATCCCTAGCTGTGCAGGGCAGGGCAAGACTTGAGGTCTTCTCATAGCAGGAGGTGGAGGAACAGAGCAAATGCCAAGGAAGAGCTGCATTTTTATGAGATCTTTGAAAGCAGTGGAATGGTGGAGCCTTTGGACAGTTGAACATGCTTGGCATGATCAATAATCATTGTCCCAGAGGCAAGTCCCTAGATGGGAAATACAGAAACCCAAAGTACAAACCAGTCTGTATTCTCAAAGAGAAATAAAGCCAGGACTTTGGGCCAGAAGTTGTATGTCTGGTTCTTCCTGACTGCTTGGCAATTCCACTAAGGCCTAATGGAAAAGTAGTTGAATTGATTAGAACTCCAAAGACCACCTTTTAAGCCCAGCTATGCCCTGACTCGCTTTCCGTTGTGTCTCAGCTCTCAAGCTGGAAAAAGAAGGAATAAAACTTTGCTACTAAAGGCCTTGGAGAGCGAATCTTTTGGTAGGAATACAGCACTGACACCTCTGCATGAGACATTAATGGACACCAGCGCTCTGGCTGGACATAGACACCTTAATGGCAAAGGAAGCATTTTTGCAACAGGCCTCAAGAACACACAAAATGCAAGCAGAAGAAAACAGTCACTCACCCAGTAATGGAGCCCTCCTCCAGTAGCCATCGCGCACCTCCACRTAATCATACCAACAAAGGCGACTTTTGAACAGGTCCATTGATGTGAAGTTTAACATAATCTGCAAAGAGAAAGAACATACTTCGCAAAGGTAGCTACTTTAAAAAGTAAATTCTACAGCTTATGTACATTATTGCTTCTGCTACATAAGGGAGCATGCAGTAGAAGACAGTTGGACAGCTGGTTGGATTTCTTTTTTTAACCACATTTCAGGGTGTTTTAGTAGAAAAGAAGAGTTGATGACATCAGACAGCACAACTAACTGCCTTGTCCATTCTGTAATTCACAAACCGTACCTCAGTTAATAAGAGGCTACTGAAAAAAGCCCAGTTTTGTTTCTTCAATTAAAAAATAACAAAAGCCTTGGTTTTGATTCATGTCAATAACAAAGAGAAAACATATTGCCCCAAACCACAGGTATCTGGGGTTATTTCTTACATGAATGACATTTCTTGTAAGAAATAGATGATTTTGTCGACACATTTCCACACATGTCCATTCTGACAATGGTGCTCRTGTGGCTACTGTGATTCAGAGTTCACTAGCTTTACAGAGCAGCATTTAGCTTGAAAATTTTACCCCTTCAGTCCCCTTCTTCCATAACAAGGATTTTTGCCCTGTTCTGGCCCTATTGAAGTCATTGTATGGGATATACTTGTGGTAATATGTTCTTGCACGTTTTGACTCATATGTTGCATCTACTTCTTGCCAAAAGAATATTAGGTTAAAATAGATATTCTCTTCTCAAAGTAAAATACTGGACATGGCAGGATGTACAGAATGCTGGTAATGATATCACTTRCTTTGTTCAGATTTGTGCAATTCTCTGTCTTTCGATAACAAAAGGAAATTTGTTTCTATACATGTATACTTGTTTCTATACTACAACCATTATCTGAGTTAGTGCCTTTGCTGTGATACAAGTGTTCCAATTACTACATTTGTTCAAAAGTGACAAAACAGGTCTTCCGAACTTRAAGTGAACTTCTGAAATTGATCTGCTAAGAAACTACAGTATGTAATATCTACACCATAAGCCACACTAAAAACATTTACACTGTAAAATCCATAAAAGTAAATTATTTCAGAGCCTGGACTAGGCATGATATCTGTCTTCCCCTTGCAAAGCTCTCCCTGAGGTTAATGGTCAGGGTTCAGCACACTGCATAGGACTAGACCTGCAGAGAACAGAACTGAGTTCAAGACTAAGATGACTCCTGAAAAACAGCTGAACTCTGCCTTTCCTTGTGAGAGTCTTGAATGATTTTCAAGTGTGGTCCCCAAAGAAGTGGCTCTGCCATGGAGCTCCAAAGCCACAATGCAATATAAAGGGTCCAAAGGGCTAGTATTAACGAATTAAGAAAAGATTTCATTTCTACAGGAGGATGAATAAAGCTAAAGGAGTTAATCCAAGTGGATGGAAAGGCTGATTCATCTACACTGCTCAGCATGAATCCCCTGACAGGGCCATTCTGCCTGTGTGACGGTGGCAAGTCAGCAATGTCACTTATGACTCCTCCAGCTCCTTCCAGGAACTGTCTTGTTGGCACATTTCATGCAATGCCAGCAGTCAGTCAGATGAACTGCAAGGTGCCTCCTCAGCTCTCAACAGTCAGATAGCAGGCAGCAAGCTGAGTAAGTGAGGAAACTATCCAGGAACGGTTTTGTCTTGAACTGAGAGGAGCGGGTTGGGAGATTAACACATTCCCATTGTAAGGAGTTTAGTTTTCCCCAGGACCAAGCATTCCTGACCCTTGGGACTCCCTCCCTGAAGACAGGTGAGTCTCTAGAAGGACAAGGAYGTTGCTTGGGAGCCTTTTCGCACTCCAACTCTGTACTTCAGTTGCTAGCATTATTGTCACAGGCAAAGCCACTTGTCATGGAAGTGCAGAGCACACCGTGAGTTACTGTCACCTACCTTTTCCCCTGGGGTCACTGAGATTCTCCAGACACAGTGGGAATAGGAGGGGTAACCATTTGGAAAGCCAGGGGCTGAGAAATTCCCTGTTGTGTCCTGCAAAGTCTCTCCACAAGCTGCAAAAGAAATAAAAAAGGCAGCAGCAAGGAGTTACCTTTTGAAGGGCATGGGGGTCTATTAAACTCTAAGGATGCTCATTCAGTCCTGCCTGGCTGTGGTCAAAGGTGCCATTTACCACCTGAGACCTCACCAAAAGGGATGATATGATATTTACCAGGGTTACCAGGTAGAAGTTAATCAGTACAAGCACAGAGAAACAGCCTCTAAAAAAAGGCACACCTCCTTCCCCCCTCCTTTCTCGTGTCAGCACATTTAGGTTTTAACCGTTATGGAATATCTTATCCATCAATCAAACATAGAATAATAACCCCTCCACAACCCCAAGATTGTTGCCGGTGAAATTGTTTTCTCTTTATTATAAGCTGCTCAATAAAGTTCTCCTTAGTTAACATACGCAATTGGTTTTTTTTTTTTTTTTTTTTTGGTTAAAACACTGTAACGGAAGCAAGGCAAGCTCTCTTGTGCCTAGGCTCTGGCTATCTTGCATCCACCCTGCCGTCCCACTGCGCAGAGTAAAATGTGAGCACTGCAGTCCCCGCTCTCCACCTTGCCTTTTCCTGTGGCCAGCTGCAGTCCATGAAAGGTAAAACCCAGAATGACTTTTGGGAAGCAAATGAGATGCACAAGCACATGTTTCTTTAGGGAATGGCAGCTTCCAACACCTGTGAAAGCAGTGACTACTGTAGTTCCTGTTCCCTGAGCCAGGAGGACTGAGCTGGAAACGGAACAAGTGTGTACATGTGCAGAGCAGCTGACTGGCTAGATCAGGAGATCCCACATATCAAAGCTCCCATCTCCTTCAGAACGCTCACTAGACACATGCAAATACCCATCCCATAGAGCAGGGATTTTGGCTCCCTTGCTTTCCAGTTGATTTTTTAATTTCATAAACCACTGATGCTATAAAGCTGCTCATGACCTGCAACTTGGTTTCCTCAGTGACAGGAAGGCAGCCCGTAAAAATCCCTCATTAAGCAGCAGTGCTTTGAAAGATCTGACAAGACTGAACATCTGGCTCCCTTTCTCATGGAAATGCCAGTGGATGCTCCTCTGCCTGATGCTATCACACACTCATTAATTTTTCAGCCATGGTCACATTTAGATGAGCAGGTCGGAAGTTGGAGGTGAAAAGAGACCAGTCCCATTCAAGAAGTTTAATATCCTCCAAAATGAAAGAGTGAGTCATCTAGGCCAGAAATTCTTAATTTCCCTGAAGTACTTTGACCCACAGCTTGACAGGTCAGACAAAATGAACAATAGGTAGACACACAAAAAGCGGTTTTGCTCAACCAAATGGCTCCTAGGGGTGCTCTGGAAGGTTGAGTCACTACTAGAAAAGAGTTGCACATATTTCAAGGCACAGATTAGACTCTGGCAAAGTGATTCCTAGGAAAGGCAAAGGTATTTAAAAATTGCTAGAAAGAAGTAACACTGAACAAAATAGGTAGGAAAATGTATGTACCTGACCTAGAGTTGTGAAGTAAAAAATGAGAGTTGAAAACCTGCGTGCTGCTCCTTCCTTCTCAAAGGAAGTTTTGAGCCCTGAGATCTGCCCCATATCATTATGCAACTATAGAGAAGCATTGCACAGGAGGGTGTACTATCTGCAGAAACAGGCCAGCTCCAGCCTCTTCCAATACATTCATCAGGTAACGATTTCTGTTTTCTTCACATCGGCATAGAGAGGTGTTAGTAATGGCAGAGAGGGATTTTAGAGACTATAACCATCAAATCATCAACCATGCAGCCACATGAAATCTAGCATTTACCACTATGCAGTAGAAGGCATCTCATCTTCCAAATAGTCCTTCAGCAAATCTCTTCTGGCTTCACCTGGCTTGGCACTAGCTTTTACCCAGCAGGTATAAGCTTTGGGGAATTAAGAGCAATTTAAAACAGCAGGGTTTTAGAATGAAAAAGCTAAGTCAGCCCTAACTATTGCAGCCACAAAAGCTCCAGTCTAATGACTTTTGAGAGCCCTGTCTCTTACATTAAAATACAAGAGTCATTCTGGTAAGTCCCAATGCACGCTGCAACTCGTCTTCTAGCACGCTAGCTGTCTTGCAAGGTGATTCCTAGGTGGGGACTCTCTTTCAGAAAAAGGAAACTATCTGCCATTCTACTTCTGGAATACATTGCTGTGCTTTATCTATAAAGTCAAGTTTGACCCCTGAGCAAAGTTTCCTCAATCAAAGGTTTCATTCAAACATCGCTTTGAACAAATAACTAATGTTCCTTGGTCTTGAACACCTAAGCTTTACATTTGAAAAAGTTCTGTAATTGCTTCTTCAAAAACTACAGATTCAAATAACAGCTGCAAATATCCAAGTCACTAACTATACTGCACACAAATATTAAATATATTGCACTCTCATCAAAYGCAGTCTGTACATAAATGTTCAAGGAAACCAAAACGTCAAAAATGAATAATAGATATTGAAAAACATGATTTACAAGGCTTAGAGTTCTGATCGTTCTGCTCTCAARGGTTCTGAACTGTCTCTGTTATAGCTTTGTGGTACAAACAAGGAGTAGAACAATTCTACTGTGCAAGTAGAAAATTTTCAAAACTCACAAGAGTCCTCACTGTAAAGAAAGTTGCTTTTGTAGCTCTGATCAGCATTGGCTTTTAAGCTCACCTTAAAGAATCTGCAGCTTTAGTGGAATATTTCCAGGTAAGTGAATGGAAAGTCTGATTGGATTAACTCTGACTCAAAGATCTTGTATAAGACATTTTTTTTTTTTTTTTTTTTGGATAGCCAAATGTCTCAATCCCTAAACAAATCTGAGAGAGAATTTTCCAAGAGACAGATCCTTCATGACGCCAAATAAGGCAGACTTCAATGAAAATGAAGTTTGTTTCAGAAAATTACAAGTAATTAAAATGAAAACTTTTTAGGACTTTAACATCTAAGAAATTTATACTGCTATAAGCTAAAGCAGAGAATCCTAAACATTACAGATCCTGAAGTGCTGCTCATCCTCAGAACTTATCCTGAACCATTATGAAACTGTCTGACCTGTAGCTGGGTACCCAGAAAGGTATTTGCACACCAGCTGTGGACATTTTCCACAGYCTTGTGAATGATTCAAAGACTGGTGTCCACTAACTACTGAGTTAAAATTTGACTCTCTCTGTTCTGGTAAAATCCATCTCTCCTTCCTATTTTCTCCCTGTCTCTCTGTGCTTATTCCGAGTAGATTGAACCTTTGTCCAGTTTAGGAAATGATGATGCAGGAAAGGTTTAAGATAAATTAAAGCCACTCTCAGCTGGACCAATATACTGGCCAGACCACCTGATTTAGCTAAACCATTGGGCCATGACTGCATAAATCTCTCTCTCTCTTTCTTTTTAATTATTATTCTCTGTAAAACATTAGTAAAAGAGCGAAGTCATTCTGCAAAATCAGCAAAACTTTCTCATTCTCTCATCCATCTTACCATGGATATTCTACCACAAGCCCACAAGCAAAACTGGAGCAAAGCCTGTTAAACTTTCTCCCTCCCAGCATCACATCTTCCCCGCTATCTCCCTTCTTGATTGCTGCAGTCCACACCACAGTTYCCAAACTGGGTGCCATCTTCACTTAACTTTTTTATTTACAATCTCACATTCAAACTGTCTTTAAATCTGGCAGATTCCTTATGTGAAATCCGCCTTTTTTTTTTTAAACCTATTGCACAAGCTTTCCCAGTACCTCCATTTTAATGGGATGTTTTTGTTTTGATGGGTAAATTTAGTCTTTTCCCAATCATATATGTGACCCCAAATCTTTTTACAAACCTTTGCAAACTCTAGATAGGGAAGGAATCAGATTAAGAGTCTTTAGTAAGTCACATACTCTTCTTTTAAAGCTCTTCCTAATCTATCACTCCTTCAGCAGTAGAAAAGGGGATGCAACTCTGAACAGCCAAACAYACCAGCTTCCAGCTCCTGGTTGTCTAACAAATCAGCATCTTTGAGCTTTCTTCARTGTTACCTCCCAAGCCTCAGCAGAGCACATAATAACCATTCAGAGACACCTCATGATCTCCCTAAGGGGAGATCTCCCTTGGGAAAATGCCTATAGAAATAACTCAAGAGAAGTGTGATGGCTGGTGTGCAAAGACTCCCTCACGACTGTCATCCTTCTGGCCCTTTGCTAACTCCTCATCACCASCCTATCCATGGTCTCGTGTCATTTCCATGCCCTGTAAACAGAGCCTACACCCCTATTTTGGATAGTGTATTTGTACAAAAACGACACCAAAATATAAGTCTTGTCCTAACTCCTCTCCTCAGACTATTCTACAGTTGCTCTTACTAGGTTTCACTAGAGACTTAAGACAACTTAAGCCCCAAAAMAAACAGGAATGCAGGCCAAGTACTATTAGGAGACACRTTAGGCAAATTCATTTCTTCCATCRCTCCACCTTGAAGCACTTAATAGTCTGTTTCTTGAGTCATTTCATCAAAGGCATCATTAAGATGCTCCAGAACTTCAGTGCCTTCCAGATAAATCATGTGTCTAGGATAAAGCTGGAGCCACCTTCACAAGCCATATTTACCTGGGCATTTGTACAACTTCCTTGCCTGAGCGATGTCCCCCTGACTCAGGCGAATACGCTGACCAATAGTTGGCCGGACCCCRTTATCATCACGACGGGGTAGGATGGTGTCGAGGAAAACCCCTCTAAAGGGAAGAACAGAGACAAAGAGCAGAGAAATATGATGCACAGAGAGTCATCCTGGTGAAAGATGGACCTCCCACACCATCCCCCCTGACCATGTACCCCATGATGACATGCAGCCTGTGATAACCATATGTCTTGAGGAACCCATCTCTCTATAGTAGATAGCTTCCAAATACACAGGCAAATCTGTCAAGCCRGTAAGTTTTGCTCTAGTTCTGCGAGGACTCATGTCTCTTTTTCAGCATAGACACATTCCTTTCAATAAACCAGAAAAAGCAAAAATATATACCTGCAGAAGATTCATGGCACATCTCGCTCAGCAGGAGAGCTGACTGGACACTTAGGTCAAATGCCCATAGGTAAAGGGGAGTTTGTTCATCAGATGATAAGGCTGGTCTGGCAGTTTCCACAGACAAGAGAAAAAGAACCAGCACTCTACCTTTGTTCTGCATGATTTTCCAGTCTGTCTCTGCCTTTCTTGTGCTACTTTTTCTTCCATGTGGCCCCTAATACTTGGGAGTTTTCTGCTGCACTTCCGATCTCACTCTAGTAAAGGATTTAAGCTTAGGTCTCRAAATAAAATGCAAAGTCAGTGCATCCAAGTGCAAGAGTTCGCATGTAAAAGAGACCCAAAGGCAGCATTAAGACCAGAGAGCTAAAGCAGGTGGATGGGATCAGAAAACAGAACTCCAGGTTGTGAAAAACTGTGCTCTTGCAGCCAGGCTGTCAAGTCCCCAGGAATCATTTCACCCCACCTACACACCACAGAATTATCTTGTGTTTCCTTATCACCTACCAGGTATATCTTCTTCTACAAGGATGTGCCTGAGGTTGGGACAGTGAAATTTCTGGTCTCATTTTTTTCCACTGACTGAATTGTGTACACCCCTCATAAGCTTTGCTAAACAAGGTCCCTGCTATGCCAAGTACAGTTTCTCTCATTTTATAAGCAAAGAAACTGAGAAGAAAGGAGAGTTTTTCTGGCTGAAATCATAGGTCTCACAAGAACTGTGCTGCCCACCCAATCACCATTCTCTAAGCAACATAGATGATGATGCATTTTTATAGACCAGACCTATTCTTGAACAAGAGACCTCATCTCTCCTCCCAGAGGTAGGAATCCTGGATGTTCCATTTTCCTGCCATCCAGGGCCAGGCAGAGCATSTATCATCTGCCTAGTGCAGTGGTAAGTCAAGCACAACAACCCACTGATGCCACCAGCTAAGAACAACTGGTTTTGAGCAGAGATGCTCTCAGGAATCATTTGCACTTTAACTATGAATACATAAAATGCTGTGCAAACATTATGAAATTATTAACTGATCTTGAGCTGATCACTCAGAGTCTCATCTGAGGGCAATGGAGGCAGGTGCTCTAAACACTACTCAGGGAAGCAGATATTCAAGGTAGTCTGAGCACTCAACTTCAGGTAGCTGCCTTTTGGCCCAGCTCTGCATTTGGATTCCCATCTGTAGGAGGCTGTAAGTGTAACTGTGTGTGTATGCAATCTTGCACAGGATTGAGTGCTGTGTTGTGAACATACCAAGAAGATGCCCGTTGCCCTGTAGGCAGTGCCTTCTGCATCCTCAGTCAAACAGCCTTGTGGAAAAGCAGAGTAATGTAACTCCAGGGTGTGCTGCCATGCTTAATAACAAGGGAGATATTGGATTAAGGTAAGCCAACTATTTCCTTTGGGCTTCTCATTTGTTTAAAGTTTTCTTTTTGTCAAACTTCCATCTGTGGTTCTTGACAAAGCTTAAAGGATTTGTTTTATGAGATAATATTCAGCTTAATTTGTTGCTATGTGTGTAAAGAAATGCACTGCAAAATATAAGGCTTTAGCCACGCTATGAACAAAGGCAATGTTCTGGTATAGATAAGAACAGAAGTTCTCATGGTGAAAGCTCCTTACTACCACCACCATTACAGTCCTCTATACCATACTCTTCCTCCCACTGGCTGTAGATGCTAAAGAGAAAAATGTTTTTCTCCAAGTTGAAGACTAGAACAATTYCAATACAATTTTCAAAAGAACCACTGGAAGCAACTTCCATTGCTAGGACACAATGTGTCTTGGAAAAACTTTCCCCTTCTGTCCTGGGCAAAAAGTTTAGAATAAAAATAGCCTAGGGTGTACACCAGTATTTGGCCATGGCAAATACCATATGATCTGCCATCAACAATATTCACTGGGAATAACAAGGAACAAGGTTGTGYTGAGTGATACATTGGAGCTGCTTGAAGACAACGAGTCACAAACAGCTCTGGAGCCGCTCGTGCCAGATGATTCATAATTCCTCCATCTTCCCCTCACTCACAACCTGGCAGCCAGAGGGCAAGGAAGCAAAGTTATTAGCACGAACAAGGCAAGCAGTAAACAAGGCTATACACCCTACATACTCTGCTCTTTTTTGTCTAATACAGTGTAGTTTAATAGGGAGTTAGTAGGCCACCAGCCCAAGGGTTTAGACTTTTCATTCATCTGGCAGAGATACAGAGGTGCACAGAACAAGGGGAAAGATAGCCAGCTGCTGGGAGGATGTTGTCAGTGGATACATCTGCACAATGGTCAACCAAGGCTGGGACACAGACTGCTGAAGCCGAGTTCACTCTGATCTCAGGGGAACACAATCATATGAATACAAAGCTGAAATAATAATCTCTTTAAAAACTACACCTGTGCACCATTTCGGAAGGGAATAAACCAGAGACTCTGTGCATACTTCATGCATACCTCCACAAATGGTGTGGCTGCATGAAAACCTACTAGGTAGAACAAGGTCAATAATACAGGGAGGTATCTGAAACGCATGTATGAAAAATGGCAGAGGATTCACAACAGGAATCACTCTGGCCACAACTAAGACAAAGACACATCTAGTGAGAAGTGGAACAGYTCTCTTGCCATTCAGAACAGCACCAGATGACACCCTTGGGGTGGATGCGATCAGGGAATCCAAATCAGAACGGGGGGAGAGACAGGGGCACAGGAGGCACTTATATATCCTGGAAGGGTTTCAGTGCACCAGCACATATTCTTGAAAASAGTGCCAATCTCTGCAACTCCAGTGGGTCTGGTCCAAAACTACAGCATAAGCAAGGGCTAGATAACCCACTGAAATAGGCTGTGGTCTCCAGACAGGGATGGTGCTTTAGCACTCCAGGTCTACAGTGCCAGCCTGTTGGGAAGAGGTGACATCCGCTTTGCCATCACTGCCCCATACCAGTCTTGGCAGAGAATCAGCTGGCCAGGCTTAGTGCTGACTAGCAAGCAGTTCCCAAAGCCAAGTTACCTGAGGAAACTCATTTCATGGCTGGATTCTCTGATGTTACCCRAGCTACAAATCGTACTGGTGGGGTGCTCATATCATCCTTTTCCTGTGTAGATTTTCCGGTGTCTGCCAATGGATTAACTCACTTGCTGCAGCCCTTCTGTTAGCAGGGTTAATCAGAAGCTGTCTCCCACACCTGACCACTAATTACCACGAAACTCACAGGAACTTACTGTCTTCAAGAGTTCCATGTCTCTGCCAGTTTGGGTCGCAATCGGCCAGCTCAGGTACAGGTGGGAAAGATCTGCACGCACATTTGCCAATTTACATTCATGCAGACCGGTCACCTTCATCTCCTTCCCTTAGGGAAACAGACCAAGACATGTCTCGACAAATAAGTCTGTTCCCAGTGGTGCTTATTTACAGTGAAAGCGCAGTCAGCCCACAGAGGCACTTAGCGCTCAGTTCATTTACTGCACAAAGACTGCTGCTAGGGTGAGGGTGGGTCACAGATACAAAAGGCTTAAAGAAAACAGATTTTAAAATCCTATTAAGCATCAATTTAAATGTAGAAAACCCCTTGCCATTTTTATCCCTTTTTGGCCTAGCAGTGCTCTGAAGAACTCTGTTTTTCAAGCGAGACAGACTCAAAGGCATTTGCAATATAAATGGAGGTAATAACTTAATCCTGCTTTTGTGCACAGCAATTCCATCCATTAGAGTCCAGCAAATGCTGGAAGGTCCCAACAGATGCCCCAAGGGAAGAAAAATTGTCTGTTTTGGGTATCCAATCTAAACATATCTCTGAAGGCTGCAAAGCAACCTTGCCTGTACAGCACCACCTCTTTCTGCCAGGGCAACCAGAACTCCTAATAATTTTTCCCTAGCTGATGTGAACAGAAACAAAAAACAACAGGCTTTGCGCCCCCATACAACTGCATGCAGGGGGGAGGGAGGAAGAAGGAGAGAGAGGAGAAAATGAAAGCAACCCTAAACCCATGTTTAATTTGGGCAGCAAAAAAAGTTTCCCAGAATGTACATATCTATAGCATGTAGTGACAAAAGCTCTTAGGAGGGAGCAGCACTGGGATTTATAGGTGAGCTTTCAGAAAATGCAGCAAGACAGAGCTGGTCATCCAGTAAATCACATCCCAAATCTGGGACTTATATATGTTCATTCACCTCTCTAAATGTGCCCATCAAGTGAAGCTCTCTCCTCATAAAATGGCTCCAGCTAAGTTCCAGCTGAAGGACTTAGATGGGAGTCAAGGGCATACAGCCCACATAAAGAAGCCAGTCAACTAGTACAGCAACAGGACTGAAAACTTCTTCAAGAAGAATCCAATCACAGAGGATCACAAGGCTCAGACACTGTGATTTAGAGCTCATGAACAGATGGTTAAAAACAAAGAAACAAAAGTACAAAAGCAACAAGCAAGAATCCTTAAGATCATCACTTAAACTAGAGTTTAAAGTCTCACTGGCAGAGTTGCTGGGGACTCTGAAGGCAATATTTGAAGAATGAGCTGGACAACCAAGATACTAAAAGTTTACTTTAATATTACTCCCTTTTGCAAGTAGGCAGATATACACACACATACCTGCTGTCTGGGAAGGAGCAGGGCATACTAACATGGCTTTGGAAGGTCCCTAGGTCCTATAAGAGAAATGTGGAGACATCTCACTTCACCAACCTTGCTTCTGCAAATATTTTCCAGGCTCTGCAATGCATTAGAACTCAGTGCAACTGCCATATGCCTCTGCAATAGTCCACAGGTCTCCTTTTAGGTTTCACATACCATACGGAGCCAACCACAACTGCTGGAAGTAGCTCTAAGGAGATGTGACCTGGGATTCTTACCTTGAGAACGTGTTCCTAGCATAGTGCATGATGCTGTCAAAGTCATAGGTCTCTCCCAGAGAGTTCACTTCTCCAGCTTCCATCTTTAAGAAATTGTATTCCTGACCTGTGATATAAGACACAATTAAAGGAGGAAAAAAACTCTCTCTCAAAAGAGGAAAACCTGGTGTGAAAGGGCTATGTTCCTACCTTCCCAAACTTYCATCTGCACATCCAAATCTCTATTCACCCAACTACTTTGGCTCTAGCAATATTTTTTCTTTTTCATATTAGATCACAGACRGGAAAATTTCCAGCCACCCAAAAACAGGTGGAATAAGCTCAGGCGCTATTTTACCTTGCTGTATGTTCTCTCTGATGATTGTGACATGTTGGTCCCTGTCAGGCCGTGTGTGCTCATGCCAGAAACCAACCACATGACCCAGCTCGTGAGCAACAATACCAAACTTGTCACAGTTCTTTCCAATGGATATGGCCTGAGGGCCCCCTCCTCGGCGACCCACRTATGAACAGCATCTGAAAAATAAAAAATGCAGCATATGAGAAAATGAGATTAAGCCTAAGGCATAAGAACTAGGGATTTTAACTGCAATGGKCTGGGAGAAGTCAAAAAGTGCATACCTTACATCCTTTCAAAAATATCTATGGATATATACACACACGAAAGTGTGCACATATGTATGTGTGCATGTGTGTATAAGTTYGTGTATATAAGAAGTGCATATATACATTTAAGTGTTATGCCCACAAAAGAACCTGGAAAGACATGGCATCCTCTTCTGAGCTCAGACTGAATCCTTGTAAAAGTGAGCAGAGGTGTCTCAGTATCAGATCCTCCACATGACTCTTAGCTTAGTCTGACCAGAAGTGGGTCTATAACGCCACTTATSAACGACAGGAATATTTGCAACACAGCTAGCTAGGAGGATGTGTGTGTATCACTTACCCACATGTTCTGTATGTGAATACAATGAAACTCTCTTCATCAGTTCTCTCCACAAACGTCACACAGGTGTGCTTCTCCCAGTGCCTCATAGCTTGCTTAAAGATCGCTCTTTGGGTTCCTGAAAAAGAAACCCAGGGAGAGCAAACAGGGAATGCCTGGCTTTCAGGAAGATCTCTATTGGACTATATCTGGAGAGAGGAACAGTCAAACCCTCCAGCAATTGATCCTGTGTCTGAAGACTATCTGGGGCCTACTTCCTAGCGCAGAGTTCATTCTGGTAGAGTTGCTGGGTGCCCTGATTTGTGCTCCAGTTACTCAATGTAGTGCCACATTTGTCTTATACTACAGCTTAACATGTTCACATGGTTTTCAAGGAGAAGGAATCTCATGTCAGTGAGATTATACATGCACTCCTCCAAGCTAAGGATAAACTATTGCCAGATAGTTTATCTTTGATATTAGAAGCAAAAACTACAGAGCAGCTGGAGAGAGTGGTCTCATGGTCATGTTAGAAGGTGCTCAGAGTCATTGCTGCTCTGTGCTTGACCCAAAGGACAGCTCAGGACTTTAACAGACACCTGAAAAGTAGGGGATTATGCCAGGCTCACATCAGCAAGAAGACTTCGTGACTTTGCCTGCTCACGGAGCAGGCTGTCTGCAGTGCTCACTCAGCAGGAAGAGTAGCCCTACAGACAGCCCTACAGACAGGAAAGTGATGTCCTGGTACGGTACATGGCTCCAGGAAGCCATTCTCTGTCCACCTTTCCAATATACCCTTTGGCACACAGAGGGCAGCAGAGCAAGCTACCACACTGAAGACGACTAGAGAGGGAGAAGAGGCCAAAATTAGACACTGGGAATACAGAAAGGAGCTCCAGGGAGTAAGCAGGGGTAAAATACCAAGGTGAATGCAAGAGAAAAACTGTGCTATAACAAGAGATGCTTCTCACATGGTCACCCCAAACGATGAGATGATGTTACACAATCTGGACCAGGCAGGGCTGTGGAGCACACATAATAACAGAGCAGACTCTCTCATCAGACCCTGAGGAATAACGCTGTTCTGTGACAAATGCCCAGGAGAGATGTGGCTGGCAGATTGCTCACTGTGCTGTGAGGTTGCTCTCTGTTTGTACAAAGTGTATGGACCCTTCAACTGGGGTTTCATAGACTCCTGGCAGTGCTGCAGGTCACAGAACGAGACAGCGCCTGAGTGAATATGCTAAAGAGATCTTGAAGATCACTGGCATGGAAAGCAGAAGCAGGGAAGAAAACCCACTCTAAAGGGATGGTTCCCAAACTACCTCTTACTGCTGGGACAAAGCACATCACAGCCTAACATATATCTCAGGGAATAAGGTTTGCTCTAAGTGACAGACAGTGGCTATCTGAGGAAGATAGGAAAGAGGAAGGAACCAGCTCCAGCAAGCACAGAACATTTCTCATCCATTACCAACCCACAATGGGGAACCATTCAGCTAGAAAGAGGTAAACTCGGAGCACATTGGCTGTCTGGTCTGCAAGAAAGACTTGCAAGAGATCCAGTCCTCCCACAAATATTTTAGCTTGGGCAGTGTCCAGGAGGTGCCCCAAAGGGATCCAGCTCCCTATTCATCCCCTTCGTATGCCTAGAGGAGACTGAAATTTAGTGCCCAGAAAACAGCAGATCAGGAAGCAGAGTGCACAGGGAAAGATCCCTGAATGGTAATTCAGAAAGCAATCCAGAACACTTTTGCTCCTGCTCTTCTTGCAGTAGAGAGGATCCCTTCTGTAAACACAGGGTGTGAACACAGTTTGCAGGTGTTGATCCATGAAGCAACACAATATTGCTTGAACTCCAAGAGAAGCACCATCTCTCCTTACACTTCAGGCTTGGGCTTCCAGAGTGCACAGTTCCTCATGCAACCATCCTATCTCAAGACAGAGGCCTACAAAGATCTGAGTCAAGTGTGGGAAAACTCTGTTCCTGAGATCTCCCACACATCTGAGACACTCCCGCGAGCCACAAATAGGGAGCAATGTCTTCACTACTGACCAGTGAAATTTCCTCCGATCACATAGGGGATGACCCCCCCTGGCCAGATCCTCTCAGCCCTGGATGTGGTTGCCCTGCGTACTCTGGGAGAGGAGTGTGTATCCATCCCAGACTCATCATTATACTCCTCCTTCTTCGGTCTCCGCACAAGCGTTGCATTCTGCCTGCCGTCTGCAAGACAGAGTGGCAAGACTGTTTAAATCCTCTTTGGCTCCACGTGCAGCCCTCGGGTAATAACCTGGAGCCTCGGAGAAAGCAAAACAGAACAAGGCAAGATGTTAATCTGAACCAGAAAACACAGCCAGATCTATGAGTGAGTTGTTAAGGTCTTGGAGACAGATAATCTGTCCCAGGGCAAATTGGCACTTCTTGTCTTTAAGTCCCCCTTCGCCCTGGGTCAAACCTTCTCTGTCAGCAAGGTGAAGATGGACAGCCTCTCTGTCTCTATTCACCTATTGTCTCAAAGAGCAACTTTATAGTCAGGAACACATTATTTAAGTAAGGAGAACGGGAGATGGGAGGTTGAACAACCCCAGTCTTCACTGTGATGTATACTTTCAACCCACCCAGCTCATTTAGACTTGGAGAGTTTTATCCTGCCAGGGCTAGTTTCACAAGGGGCAGAGTAACCCATCTGAGCCAGCACTGGAAGCAGAGGGCAAGCCCCTTAAAYTGAAACCTACACTGAAGGCTGAGAAGCATTTTGTGTTAAGTGCTTGTTTTCACATGTCATCTCTCAGGCAGCTTGCAATCATCTGCATATCAGACAATTTCTGCTGGAGGTGGAAGGTTCAGGGTGGAAAACTGAGACATTCCATACTCTCTTCTTACATGAAGAGGTATGACCACTGGCAGTGGTTCCTCAGRGCCAGCAGGCCTCTCTGAAACTGCAAGATGAGGGCTCTAAGCTCTATTTGCAGTGTTGTGACTCACACGGAAATCAGAGCAAGGCTGGCTACAGCTTTGCTTCCTCAGCTGGGGACATGGACTGGACTTTTAAAGCTCAGTTATAAAAAAAGTCYCACTGAATCCTTCCTCCTGAGATCAGAGATGGTGCCGAGAGCCTCCTCTCCCATTCATCCCTCCCACAGAAGCACACACAAGCAAACTACTACTGGCAAGGCTGAGAGAACCAAAACAATGGGAAGGAAATTAAGGCAGCCTATAGAGGGATGGAAGGAATGAACTTTAAACCTTCACTCCTGCTTCATCAGATCCAGCCCTTCCAGCTGGAGCCCTCACTCTGAGCTGCAAGACCAGCTGCAGGACAAAACCTGGAATTTGCCTTTTGTTCCATGTTGTCCTGAGGAGTTTCTCAGCAAAGCCATGTGTGCCTGGCATTTCAGAAGCTGCCTCATCCCCACAGCAGCTGCCAGATCCTGCAGTCCARTGCCCTGATGTTGAGGAGGCACCACAAGGAAATATGAACTACCCTCACCCTCTTTGCACAATGCTATCCCACAGGTACCACTGCAGCATCAAATGGCCACRGCTGGAAGGAGAGGGAGGCTTTTGAGAGAGAGGTGGCCTTGTGGATATCTGTCTCTACATTCTACTCCTGTGACTGCTGAAAAGCCTTGTGAATTTATGGACAGACAGCTCCTGTCAGTAAAGCTGCTTAAGGAATCCTCTGCCCTGGGCTCTTCTACTCCAGCACCTGCTGAAGTAGGAGTACTGCACAGGAGACCCCACATCCACACTTGTGCACCATGAACACTTGCATCCCTCACTGCAATACACCTTCTTCGACAAGTTCTCAGCAGTAATTCCAGAACATCTCAATGTCTCTTTGTGCTAAGGTTTTCTATCTCTACAGCTTATATTTGCAGCAGGCTCTCAGAAAGGCCTGATGYTTCCTTGAATCAGCAGCAGAACTAAGGGAAAGCAGGTAGCAGCWGCAACATTGCCAGGGGACACAAAAATCTGGGTGGAATGTTCTAAAAAAGACTTCACTTTATCTCTCTAAAAAATTGACCGGTACTAGTGCTAAGTCTGGAACAACTGTGATCCTTCCTAGAACCCTTCTTCTGTGCTGAGGAGCACCAACCTTGGAGGTTCCCACACACCAGCTGTGAGCAGGATACTCCTTACAGCACCYACAGCCCAGGCAGCACCCTGGATCTGGGACATGCTGTGTAACACTCCTTGCTGCCATTTGAAATTTACTCAAGGGTCTCTCAGGCCCATCTGGCCAGCAGGCATTGCCCAGCTTTATTCCAGACAGCAGCACCATCTCTAAGSAGAAGCAAGCAGAGAGAAGCACTAACACAGTTTTGCAAAGAGGAGCATCCTCCTCAACCACTCCTGCCCACCGCTAGCAGGGCTGAGGCAGYGGAGCAGGTCAGAGGATATGAGCAGTTCGAGTGAGAGACCAGAGCACTGGGCTGTGAACCCAGCAGTCGCAAGCACAAATGTCCCCACATGTRCTGATGTGCTGTGCAGTCTCTCTGCCTCAGTACCTCTCTCCATAACAGGGAATAAAACAGTCTCTCCTGTACACAAGGGCYGTAAATGCCTTGCACAGAGCAGAGACACCCCGTTAAAATGTCCATACAATTGTAGGCCTGGGTGGATCCTATAAGCAACTCCTCACCTACATGGGTAGGAGGAAGCAACTGCTGAACTCAGCACGGGTGCTAGCCCTCTTACATAGAAATAGGACCTTAAATTGACTCAGCTGAAACATCTCCAGACAGAAGGGGCCACAGAGCATTATAATCTCTGCTTTAGAACAAAATGTTATTGCTGTCCCAGCGACACCCACAGGTAAGCTATACAAGGAAAAGAGACCCTTGCAGAGAGTCCACCAAGAGCTGGGCTGGTCTCCAGAGYATGGAGACACACACACAGGACAAAACATTCTTTTACAAGGGATAAAAGAGTAAATAAAAGATACCCAAAGGTCTGGGTGGGGTACCACATTACCCTTTTTAACTGCTTTGATAGGATCCATRGCAGTGATGTTCTCACTTGGCACAAAAGACTGCTCTCCCAGACCTCCTGCAAAGGAAGAAGAGCAGAAACTCAGAGTGAGAAGGCTGGCAGAGCTCTGTTAGGGGAAGGACAGTGGCTTTCAGTTACGCTGATTGTGGGGCTGCTACCCACAGAAACTGCCTGCTGCCTTTGCACAGAGAGCAGGAACCGAGYCTGATAAAACTGGGCTCTTCCTAGATTTCTTCTTTGCCTACAGTTGCACCTCACAACTCGCATTATTGCCCACGGCTTTCATTTCCCCGCACACTGAATAAGCAGAAAGTCTCTTCTAGGGAAGGCTACTTCCACTGATACTGAGGATAAGAGCTATACAAGCAGGGTGGCAGCATTTATAAGTACCCCTATTAAATCTCAAGTCAAAAAGGCACAGTCAAGACAATGAATCATGTACATTCAGAACAAGATACTCAAGTCACATCAAGTCATATGCATCTGGCCTGAATTCAGCTTCATCTGAAAATAAAGTCYTTCTCTGTGCTGCTAACACCCACTGGCTATCAGAGCAGGAAGAACTGTACAGTTAGATCCTGGGTATTTCTTGTGCTTCACCCTGTGCCAGCTCTCCAGCACAGAGAAGTCCCAGCCTTGGCTGGGGAAGTGGCTTCCTCCAGCTCAGATACCAAAACAGAACTAATTGATCCCACTCAGGGCTTCTCCCTGGCTGGCTTTCCTATTTCCACCAGGGAAAATGCGACTCAYGATGTTCCAGTGATAGGCAAGATACCAACCCAAGTTGGGGGAGGAGGATTTAGCTGCTTGATATCATAGTTATTTAACACTGAAACAGCAGCAGCGCCATGGTACCTTGGTACCAGTCCAGTGCCTAATGCCTCGCTTTCCTCCTGGCAGCATGGGACAGCAGAGCTTTTCTGTGTTCGTACARATGCTCTGCAGCTTGTGTGCAGAAAGCAATGGCACTAGGTTACGTCCTGCACATGAAGGCCCTGTACACCCAACATCCTCCACTGTAAGATCAAGGATCTCTGGGGGAGATCCTAGCTCATCAGAAAGATCACATCACAGGGGAATGGAGAGAGATTCCTGTTAGCAGCCCATTCASTGTATGTTTAGCAGGAAAGGGAATCTCCAGTGTAAGGTCCAGTCTGTGTGCTCCAAAGGTATTCCAACATCTTTGGATGCCTCCAGCCTGTGTGCAAAAGAAGAGATTTGAATTTGCAAATCCAGCACGTAGATATTCTGGTAGCTGCAAATCTTTATAGTTTAAACCAGGATACTGCAAGGAAGGAGTTTAGGATGCTGCACACTGATGCACTCAGTGTACATGCATCAGCCCCCTGTTACACTAGTTATCTGACATAAATCTAATCTTCCAGGATGCATTTAAAAGTTTCTGGGATAGCTTTCAGGTTCTGGCTGTCTATCAAGCAGGCTGACAAACAATCATAGAGTCTCCTGATGTGAATACTATATAGTTCCAGCAGCTGCTAAATGCTAGGAAAGAGRGAGCAGTAAGAGATAACACAGCAGCAAGAAAACCTTCCAGAGAGACAAGGGAAGAAAAATGTAGCAAAAGGGACAGAAAAAAATGAGAACAGGGAAGAGAGAGGTACAAAGATCCTCTACAGCTGTCTGTATTCCAAATTTCTTAGCTCTCCCATTCTGCCAGGTCCAGCTTGGAAACGTCCCAGAAGCCACAGAGCATCTATAGGAACACAAAAGGACTATGCACTGAACCACTGATCAGCCAACAGTCTCAACACTGAAAACCAAGCCAGCACCTTGTCAGTAGAAAAGCCCTCCACGGTAAACGTAACAGGAGACAAAACTCAACAACAGGGTGTGGGATGAGAGAGCAAGACACATAAGACAGCAAGATGTATAACACAAATAAAACATGCTTTGGGACTACATCCACAGCCTTAAGAAGGCAGTTGTGACACCATCACTCCCTACCCAAAAGTCTGATTTTACAGGTCCCTGTGAGCAGAAAGGAGGCTGAATGGGTTGATCTCTGAGGAGTTATTATAAAGAGCAAGTCTGTACAATCTTGGTAGTAAGGGAAAGCAGGAAGCGCATGATCTACCACTGTATGCAGAGGGAGATACTGTTAGTCACATAGGAGTGCTGGGCACTGKGTGAACACTTCAGGAGAGATGTTCCACTCTTAAGAGCACTGGACATCTCAGAGGACTTGAAACCGTCTTGCTTTGCCAGCTGGAAAGCTCCCCTTTTCCCTGGGTCTGGCTTCTCTTTGCAAAGTCTTCCCTAGCCTCTCCAAGGTGGCAAAGAGGGGACTGAGGAGAAAAGGTATGAGGGAAAAAGGTACATCCCTGAAATGGTGGAGGGCAGGGAGGATGGTGTCAAACTTCCCCTCTCTACCCTTATAATACAAAAACTAACTAGAATACCAGTAAGGAAGTGATGGAAAACAACAATAAAATAAACCAGAAGAGAATTAAATACCCAAGACCTTCAGCTGACTATAGGTTAAAGCTTCCTGGTCCAAGAGATGCATTAAATCAGGAAATTGTCTCCCAAAGGAAGTGCCATAATTTAACAGAGCTAGACTGGACAAAAGCCACTAGATGTGTGAACAGRAACAAGCCTGATTCAACAAGATGGATTGCTCTGAACTCCATTACTCTTCTCCAGCCCCAGTATCCCATCCTAAAATTTCCCTTTGTTTTCTTTCATTCTCAGTCCTTGTGACTTCCTTAAGCTCAAGTTCAACCGAAGTTGCTGTTCTCACTTAAATATTACAGTCCAAGAACTCTCCTTCCTCCCAAAGTCTGCTAGTCTTCACAGAACATCCCATTCCACGTAAAGGAAATCCCAATCAGCCATTCGCTATCMGTTATTAAGGTACGTGGTCTTTGCTGCATCAAAGAATAATTCCGTTTTTCTAAATAAATAYAGCTTGCTTCCAGTCACAAACAGATTGCTTCTTAATTGCACTTGGGAGGTGAATTATATGGTGAATTAAGAAAAAAGAACAACTCTGCTTTTAGTGAATTGTTCGCCTAGAAGGGGACTGTATGGGATTGAATTGCAAATGACGGCAGCAGCGCGAGGTCGGCCCCTTCTCGCGCACCCCGGCTGCTGACCCCGGCCGTGCTGCGGGGCCATTTGCACAGGCTGCTTTTCCACGCCGCGAGCACATTCTTTCCCAGCGGTCAGCGCAAGCCCGGGTTTCTTATGCAAAGGAGATGTTTGAATAAAGCAGTGTGACTAATGAAATCTACAACATCTTTGCATATTTTGTCTCTTTGTAGCCCAGGAAAAGGGGGAGCATTATACAAAAGGCAGATAGCAGTATGCAGATGTACCGGATATTTTCAACCTTTACTAATCCTGCTAGTACACACAGGGAACACCCACCCCCTTCTCTCCCACAAGGGTTTTTTTTTGATTCATCCATGAGAATTTTGGAAGATCCTGTTCTGATGCACTTCATTTTTTAGTCTTTGCCTTAGGCATCCTAGTCTTTAGGCCTAGGCATCCTAAAGATTAAAGCAACTTGACAGACATCTAAGTCATCTCTCCCCATTCTTTCCAAAAGAAGAATAATGCATGATTCTAGCATCACAAAGACAGGTAAGTGAAGTGCTTTTATCAATAATAACCAATAAACTAGGTGGCTAAAAAAGGCACCTTGCATTTGGAACCAGCTACACGTAGATTCTAACAATATTCAGGTCATCTGGTCGCTTCTACAGAGCACTGAGCTGTACCTTTCTGCTGGGCTACCCTGTTAGACCCAAGACCAAAGCGAATTACAGTTGCTACTTCTCCAACGCATGGCATACTCACTTAGGTATTTAGGCCTATAATCATTAAAAACACTCAGCAGGAAAGTGAATGTTTCCAACTTGACACAACAAATTGGGAAGCCAATGTAGCCATAAGAAGGCAGCTTCAATGCACAGATGTTTTCTATAAAGAAGTGAGCAAAGCAGAACAGAYTTGTCTATTGTTAAAATATACCCAATAATTAACAAACCCTTCAAAATCACTTTGACCTTCAGCACTTCCTACCTGTTGCTGTTCCACACCAGCCTTTTATTCCAGACTGATTTTTTAAGATTTACTGTTCTCTCACAACCAGGGATGACACAGGAAGCACTGTGCAGGGAGCTCGACTAGATCTCCTAGGATCCTTCCACTCCTGCATTTCTATGATACCGTCCTGTTTAGGAATTTGTAGTGTTTAACAGCTACAACAACAGCAGGGCATTGCTAGACAACTTAAACTTCTGAGTTCAGGCTGACAGGGAAGGCAGAAAAGATTCTTCACCAAGTCAAGGTTTGTGTAATGTCCTCACGAGTGCACACTCGCACTGCTCGTTTTGCTGTTCTCCACAGCTCAGCACTGCCAAGGGAGTTTGACTAACCAAAAGATATTTTCAATAGCTTAAATGTACCATAAATCTGGGTTAAATCCACCATGCTTTCAGCCCTGGCTGGAGAACAGGTGTCTGAATTATCTGCAGAAACTACAGAGGGAGCCTGGGGTGATGTGTAAGGGCCCAGTGAAGCAGAGAGCTCTGTTTCTGGTGGAAACCAAGAAGTTTCTCCCTCTCTTCCAGCAGAGGAAAATCAAACCCCAGTTTTGTTAGTTGAATGTCCAAGTGGCTCAGCTCAAACTGAAAGAAAAGGTAGCAGATTAAGAGAGAGGGAAAATGCATTAAATAGGCTAAAAGGCAGAACAAAATTGTACTGGCTGCAGTTATGCCTTATGCCAAAGATGGGAGGTGAAAGAAGGGAAAGTGGGAAGCAGAATCCTTATATAATCCATAACACCTACAAGACAAGGTGGAACAAGGAGAGGATGTTACTCTGATACTGAGTAACACCCAATAAAAACACAGAACTGTTTGAGAGGCAGCTGACTTCTAAAGCACTGTAAGAGCATTAGTTTTCTAGTTGACACTTCTGTGAGGCCAGATGAGTTACCACTTGAAAGCAAAGGAGAAGCATCAGTCTATCCTGAGATTCATCAAGCTTAATTTGCAGACTATGCACTATCACTCCCTTGCAGGTGTCTG